GTGTTTTGGAGGCATCATTGTGTAAAAGAATTGCAAGAATCAGTGTTTAAGAAAACACGGACAATCACCTATAACTCTACCTACAGCCACCTCAATCTTCCAAAGCAACCTTATACTCAGCGGGGCAAAACAGGACTACAGCATTAGAAACAAACAAACAAAAAAACCGATAAGGTATCTCAGGTCTTACATGTCCAGGACTGTGTATCCAAATATCCCAAACATTGCCTTGAAAGTTGATATTGCAGTACCTAAGAAGTGTAGAGACCTGAAAAGGTCTTGGGGTCTTCTTAAAATGAGAGAGACTCAACCTGCAAAGAATCTGAAGACATTCTGTTGGTCTTCTCATCTGAAGTAAAGTGGTATTTCTTTCAATGTATTCACACATACTTAGGATTTAGGATCACGTAAGGAGGAGTCTGGGTTTTTTCTAAGGAAAATTGGATCTTCTAATAATCTACAGCACTTTCTTCTCCTAAAGATATGGACTCATTTATGGCCACATCCATTAAATATGTCAGGTAAAGCAAAGAGATGAAATGGCAAAGTCTTGCATGGGCTAATAATGTCCAAGCAGAAACAGGGATTTCCTTACTGATTTTGATTAAACTAAATCACAGAAAGCAAGCCTCATGCTAAAATATACTTGTCACCTCCTCAGGGCTGCTGTCACTGCCTCTCTTGCCTCTCTCTTACACTTGTCAGGAGAGCAAAATAACCACATAAGTGAATGTATAAAGGCCACGCTGAATCAAGAGAACTTGAAAGTCTACAATTCCAGCATGCTAAAATGCAAATTAACATAATCTAAGACCAAGGTAATTTTACTTTTCTCATATACTTTTTGGTTTGTTTGTTTGTTTGTTTGTGTTGAGGGGTTTTTTTGCTTAAATGATACCTGCTCCATTTCTTCATTTGGTGGAAGGACTACCAAAAAAGGCAGCAGTGTACTGAGAACATAGTCAAAGCCTTGAGGGAATTTGAAGTAACTGGCCTGCCCAGGCACCATGCATACAGTTTGTAAAATAAACACCAAGCAGTTTGCTGATTTCAGGAGATAGAGAGTTCTTTCATAGCTACAATGAGATTGCTCCCTTAATTTGGTCAGAGTTAATACAGAGTAACAGCAAGCAACATTGACCACCTGAAGGAGTGAAGGAATAGCATGACACAAAGTAGACTCCCTGTCTAGGTCATACTAAGACAGTGCTCCCTTGATACAAGGAAGATTTCTTCTAGTCTAGACTTTGTCATATTTCAAGGCTGGGATTTGAAACACGGTTCAAGCATAGCCCAAATCTGATAGAAGCTGACTCTCAAACTGTTGATCATGCCTCTAAACCAGCAACAATTCAAAATCTTCTCTCAACATTATTTGAAGAAAGCCTAATGAGATTACTGCACTTCTGTGCTGATACTTGTGTATTCTGAAGAAGATTAATGTCTCAGCTTTATATTACATTTGCATTCTATGTACTCATTCCATGGAAATAATACATTAAATAGTCAGCATATAATTTGGGTGCATATCAGCAAAGCATGCATCCTACTCTTAATATCGGCTTCCCACATTAACATTATTGCTAGATACTTGAAACATTATCTACATAAGTGAAATATTCTCAGTAGCCTTAAAATGATCATAATGGATCTACATCGCATCTTCAAGTTGCTTTTCAAAGCCTATTTTCTATTATTATAATCAGTTTCCTAACTAAACTACATTTGTCATTATGAAAACAAATCTAGTCATACACACATTTTTGTCTCCTTGTGACAGACATTGCTTGAGAAAGGAACAACTAGTTTCAACCTCCAGTAAACAGCTGGTATCCTCAGATAAGAAAATCTCTGCACATGGCCAAGCTTCCAATATTGTGAAAAATGATACAATAGAAAGAAAAAGACAACAGAAACCTCAAGTGCTTACATGAGACAACATAATTTATAACCAATATTCATAACATAACTTAATTATCGCCTTTTTTTTTTGTATTCTGTCACTAAACTGCAACCACAGCTTCCTTTGGCATCCTTGGGTTTTTTCCTGGGAAAATAAAAGGCATCACAACAGGAAATATCTGACTTCTAGTATGAGAAGATCAGAGGAGAACGATTGAAGGATAAACTAATGCAATAATTAAGCTTTGATATGTGACAGTTCACCCTTCATGACTCAGTCATAAGATCTACATGTTCTGAAAAGTCAGAGCCAAGCTCAATCCCATTAACAATTTAGCAAGTATCTTAGGGTGGAACTAGAGTCATTTTAGCATAAATACTGTAAGAATAATTCAAATACATTTCTCTCCTTAGAACTCTTATCACTGTATTTAATGGTTTTATTTAAAGACATGCTTTTTATAAAACAATGACTCAGATATCAAATTGGGCAAATATCCTAAACAAAGGCAAATAAATAATATAACTTGAATAGAGGTAATTGTTGTTCAAAGTCATATTCTGGTTGATTCATAGGGATGGTATATAAAAGGTCAAACAACCAGCTTGCAGTGACCACACACACACTGCTTTCAAAATAAATTAATGAGAAAAATATCACTTAATGATGAAAGAGTAGAAAATTGGGAAATTCTTCATGAATAAAACCTCTTTCCCCTTTTGGTATGGGAGAGACAGACACAGGAGATGTTAAATGAACTTCTTTAAAAAAAAAGTACTTTCCCTATCTTCTGCAAATGTAAAAGGAAAACTGAAGAATGTTCTACATATACTTAACCTAGACTAGGCCATCACAATCCTTCCTAAATAAGGGACAGAGTACTATAATCTCCTTATTGGCTCTCTCTTTACTCCAGGATGCTAGTTAAAAAGAAATCACCAAAGAAGCTGTTGTCCCTTCTATGCAGTGCACCATACTCTTGGCAGGCTAGTCAGGAACAAAAAAGCATGCATGGTCCTCCTTCAATTAAGCACTCAGGGCAGACAAAGTGGCCTTCAGCTTCCATAATTAAAGAAGAAAAAGGCAGTTGGCTCACAGGCCATAAACTCTTGCTGAAAGAGCATCTAAGATATGAAAGGAGCAGGAAGAACTAAAGATCCAGATAACAAAGCTTCTAAGTACAAAGAAAAAGAAAAAGGAACAAAAAAAAGTGGAACAAAGAAAAATCACGCATATAGAGAATTACCAAGAAGGGCATTTTTAAACTCTTTTTTGTTGTTGTTGTTTTTGTTTTTTAACTCCTTGATCCTTTCCATCAAATTCAATTTATTTTGATTTTTAAGTAAGCATAATCACTTCTCAGGGATTGTAAATTATTTTCTGGTTTAAAGCAAAAATTTAAGCTTTTGAATTATTCCCATCAACAATAATGAATTGCACCTCTTATATTTTAAGTCAATGACACCCAGCCATAATTCCAAACATATTTTGTTTATACTGTGTCTCATGTCATTCTGGAGGCACTTGTTTATTGTTATCTATTGAAGCATGATAGATGCCAATTCATACTAGTTGGTTGCAAAAGACGTTTTCTATACTTTTCAGGAAAAGGTCATTATAGTCAGGGCCTCCTTGTGGAATAGAAACAGGGATCTGAGACTTTATGAGTCTGATTATTGATAAATTTCTTACCACTAGAACTGTCCAGGAACACCCACACATATAAGACAGCAGGAGGTGAAAGTAGGTCACTACTTCTTCTAATTCCAAAGAAAAAAACACCAAACCACAATCTCCCTTTTTCAGATTACTTATGAAATAAGGTGTTGATTTCACATACTGTAGATCCCCAGAGGACCAGATGTTGTACTGACTGCATAAAAAAACTACAAGAATTCTCTAAACATATTTTAAGGGGCCATGAGGAAATGGAAAGAAGGAGAAAGATATTAAAGTCATATGAATCCATAATTGTCCTTTACCTATGCAGTAAGCAGAGATGTTTAAACAGAAGCTGCCTTTACAGACTCCCTACAATGACACACCAGTAGACTTATTTGGTCCAATGCTTCCTCTGGAAAACACCTAAAGCTCACTGCTGCTGTCATCCTGCACAAAGATTCAAAAGATTTTATCAGACCAAAAAGCCAGCACAAAGAATTTTATCCTGATCCAACCAGAAGCATCTGCTCACACTGCCTGCCAGTCTGTTCTGCAGACTAGTAAAAATGTACAGATGAAGAGACAGACTTAATTTCAAATGCATTAAATCATAGCCAGACTGCTATTTGGCATAATGAGAAAGACCTTCCCCACTCCTTTTCTGTTTATGTATAAAAATGCATTTGTATTGCCTGTCATTATTTGGTCTGTCTGACCTTGAGTGTTCTGGGTTTTTTGTTTTTTTTTCCTTTTTAATGTGTATGCTGAATAAAAAAAATACTGCACAGTGTGACACATGCAAAGACTTGGGTAGTTCTCTAGTCTGGTAAAACAGTACATCACAGTTGTGCTCTCCATGATGGGATGAATTGCTGTTTTAGCCTGCTCCTTTTCAATATACGTAAAAAGAACTGATTCATTTCTTTCAGTTAGTGACACTTACACATCCTTCTTATAAGCATTTTAACATGTGCTCCCCATAGTATTCCATTTCTTGAAGGTATTATGTGCCTGCTGTGGCACTGCAGCTGGAACTCTGAGCAAAGCTTCTTTCAGAACATTAGCTTTCTGAGAAAGAGAAGCACATCACCTGGGAAGGCCATCTTGTGCCTGATATCTAACACCAGCCAATGCTACAGAAGTCCTTATACTGAGATGAACACAATGTATGCACAACAGAGTTGAAACCAAAATGATAATAAATGCCTACAAGGACATTTGGTTAGCATTCCTTAATGTATAATGATATTTATGAACAACCACAGTTCCTGAAGCCTCTTGTACACTTCATGAATTAGAAAGATCCCCACAGAGAGCATGTGTGTATGCACACACTCGCACACAAGCCATAACCAGGACTCTATACATAGATCTATATTATACAGAGATATACACACACATACAACCCTAATGTTACAGCTCCTCAGCATACTCACAGCCAACTGAAGTGTCATGCAGCATCAATTTGTGGTGACCTGCCTATGTTTTCAGAGACCTCCTCTTCTGAAACAGAAAAATACTTTAAGAATTCTAAACCAAACCACCCAAAGCAAAAGAAGCAAAGTTGTAGCTAAAGTTTTGTTTACCATGAAACCAAGACAGACAGCTATAAGTAACTCAGTTTACAAGAGAGGTGAAAACAAACACCAGTTGCCAAAGACATGCAGAACTGATGTAGGGTGAAAAACAAGAATCAGTGCAAGGGAATGCTGTAAGTTTCTGTCTGGAGTACTGAGGTCTTCTGAAGTACTGAGGTTTCTTCTTTCACCTTACTCAGCGTGTGTGTGGTGGTGGATCAGGCAAAGCTGGCTCTGAAAAGAATTTCTAAAATATATTATATTACCTGCAAAATCTGTTGGGCAGAAAGTAGTCTGATTTGAGTTTATGATCCCTGGAGATATGCATTTAAATTCAAGCCAAAGGTTATTCCCCTGGTTTTAAAATCTTCTGTTGCTATGTCTAAAAGGAGAAAGTTTTGACAACTGAAATTTAGATCTTCGAGAAAAGATTCACTTAGAGACAGTGAAAAAATGTCTCTGAATATAACACCACAGGGGTCCTCCTCACAGACTGAAAGACACCCAAATAACAGTTCTAGACTTGTCCTTTTCTAATATTTTTTTTCTGCTTTCTTGCTTTAAAAAGAGAAAATCATCACCTTTAACTCATTTTTAGGAAATAAAATGGATCACCTTATTAATATTGAAAAGAAAAAAGAGTTACCACCCCACATGATGAACTACAGTGACAAAAAGAGTCCTGAGGGCACATTTTTTAGCAACTGGATCTTCAATTAGCCAATCTTCATTGAACATCTGGAATTATGTTGTTTTAATATATTCTCTTCTATGACTGATATTAATAATGTTACATCACAGTCTACTTGCTGTTCTATTTCCAATGGAAACAAAGGAGAAAACCACTTTTTTCTCTTTTCTTTCTTCCATTGCTTAACAAAAATCAACAGATGCAGTTCTCCTGGTCTCCTCCTCATTGATTAGCTACTGTTGGCATTCACATCCATAAGCAAAGGAAGCAAGGTTTCTCAATCATTCACTTTTCCTCTGTTAAACAACACAGTTTCCCAACTCCTACAGAAAACAGATGACAAAAGAAAGGTGAAATATTTAGGCTGTTTATTGCAGTTCATTAAGCTTAAGACAGGAAGGGAAAATTTACAATTTCAGGGAGCAGCAAAAGTGCCAAATACTGGATGGCAGGTTATTTTTTGAAATCTATGCAGAATTTCCAGAGTTATAATAAGTATATTACAAGAGTTGAGAATGTTAAAGCATTCTCAAAGTTGACTGTTCTCCAGCTCAGTTTCCTTTCACCTCTGTTTTCTAGCATTCCACACAAGACATCACCTCCTCCCTTTCCCCTGACAACATTGTTCACTAAGATCAGAATTGTCATCAAATCTGCAATGTTCAGACCCATGTTTGCTCTTCTGATGATAGGAAATCTCACTGTATAGGTTGCAAAAGTGACCAATAAGAGTCAAATGCTATTCGGGAGAATTTCCCACTGGTGCCAATTCCATGTGTCCTGGTTCTGTTCTCTCACTATTTCTTAGCAGGGAAGGAAGAGACAGTCATTAAACTCTATTTACATCAATACACTCCTCTGCAGAGATAGGTTATGTCAGAGCCCTGAGTGAGGCACAGAGGCATCCTGCAGCCTTTCCTTCAACCCGCTCTGGGCTTTAGCTACCTGTGCTTAAGGTTAGCTCCAGTAACACCACTGGATTGGCTGCTGGGAAAAGAGCTGCAAGAAACCTGCCTCTGCCCTCGGCTCAGGAGCTGTATTTAACCTTCAGCCCTTGGCCTGTTCCTATGCTATGCTTTAGGTACACCTGGGCCTTGCTGATCTTCACCCACTGGTCCTGGCTTGACCTCATTTCCATCAGCCCGGGTCTTGCAAAGAGGTTCCTGGCCCGAATGAGGAATGCTTCCCATGGGAAGAGGTTACAACAAGCAGCAGAGGGCAGCACACTCAATGCTGAGGACAAATCTTCAAAGCCCTGCTACGTGATCTCGTAGTCTAGCTTCCACTAGCCAGCACAACTCATGAGCAGAACTACACAGAATGTAGTTGAACTCTGTGACAGTTTTAATTTATAAACTTCAGTTCTATAATTTCTATTCAGTATGCAGACAAATAATAATTGTAGGTGATTACAAAAGTACTTGCTTGGGGGGGTAATGATGTGTGAGCTCTGTATGATGGAAGGAAGGAAGATAAGGCTGAGATGCAGACCTGAGTGAAGCACAGCGTATCAAATAACTTAGCTGCTTATTTCCTTGATTTTTGTTTTTGCATTGGAGGGATACACAGTCTAGCACATTTCACTCACGCTTGATGACATTTTCTGGATGTGTTGTTTTATATTTACATTTCAAAAAATATACACAGTTAAAATTAAGATCAATATAATCCACAATCAAGACTCAGGAAATGAAAACCTACTTCTACTAATTGAACTTAGCCAAGCTGTACATCTGATCCTTTAATCGTTGCTATTAGTACTGTTTAGCTGTTGACAGTGTACAGAAGGCAATGTATACCCTGCAAAAAGGAAATTTCTTCCATGCAGAGCAAAACAAATGGTAATATAATAAGCATTAGAAATCTACCAGAAAAAAAATCTATTTGTGTAAAGAATCTGAGCTAGTGTTACCCTGAGAACATTCACTTTTCCATTTCCTGACTTCAGTTTCACAAAAAATGTACTTCTATTAGAAAAATTAAACCAAAAGTTATGAGCTCTTCCAAGATACAGACAAGTACCATCACAGATGAGACGGCTAATCTCCAACTTCTGGCTCAAACAACATTCAAATCCAGATAGTTCCCCAGTTTTTCTAATTAATTAAGATGGTGACTGCAACCAGAGAGGCAACATCTGCCTCATCATACCTTTATAAAATGAGAGAGTCAAAAGTGTTCTTTCCGAAAGAATTTCAAGGAGAAAAGGAGGAAACTTCTGTTCTTGCTTTAGTTTCAGCTTCTACCGTTTTACTAAAAGAAAGAAATAAGTGTTTTAAAAACACACTATACCATCAATTTCTGAATTCCACCAGAATTTTGCTCATTTGTGACTCACTACGGTACAGCCAATCTGGGGCTGGACAATGACTTAGTAATAGGCAGCACTGAAAGCCAGCTTATCTACCTATTTATATCACATTTATCATAATGGTATACATTTTCCTTAGAACTATAATTTACTGTGAATGATTCCCACTTCCTATACGACATAGCAAAGAAGCATTAGAGGTTAAATTTAATTTTTATTGGTTTTTTTAACCCAATTTCTGAGCTGAACAGGTTAATGCAGTCAATACTATCAGCTCTTTTAGCATACTCTCATTAATCAGTTTCTGGACTGTTAGTTTTGCAGAAATTTAACTTTGGGGTGGAGAGGTTAAACACACTGTTTCCATAGGTATTGTCAAAAGAGACTTCCGGTGAAAGGGAGAGACCTCAAGCACACATCCCTAAAGAAGGACAGGCTGTGGCATGAACATATGCACCAGAGAAGCCAACATGGGGAAAGAGCTCAGGCACAAAACCTGTGAAAACTTTATGTCTTTCCAAGGCTCCAAAGTAAAATTAACCACAAGATGAAATCAGTAGAAGCTCATTAGTACCAGTGGAACTGGTACCAGTGGAACTAACGGCTGTTATTACTTTACAGGGTGTACGAAGAAGAGAAATTGTCTTCTTACACAAGAAATACTGTGTTTATCATGTAGAGAAAAAAGGGAAGTAAATGGTAAAATGGTGGTATTGTAAACAACTTTGTGTTTCTTTTGTAGGTGCTGGAAGAAAATAAATTCTGTCATGCTGGGGACTTTCAGCGGCTTTTCATTAAACATCAAGAAAGGATATTGACAGCCTATTCTCTCTCTCTCTTTCCAATTCCTGTTTGCCAAAAAAAAAGGAGAATAAAAAAGCAAAGGCACCACTCATACCCCTAAACTTAATAATAGCCTCCTATGCATTCACTGACTGGGGACTGCTGCTTGTCTTAGTATAGACGACTAAGGAGAATCCATAGCTCAATGAAAATAAAACATAAAAGAAGTTGTTGCAAAGTATAGAGCTAGAACTATTTTAAAAACATAAGAATCCCATGTTCTGCATAAGAAGATACATATTTTTATTTTTTATTATTTTAGTCCCTTATCTTTCTTAACAATTTTGTTAATTTTTTTAAAAAGTGCTGTTGCTTCAACACTCATGTGGTAGCATGTGGATCACGCAGATATTTAAGGTTATCACAGAGGCAATGAAACAGTCAAGGTGGGATTTTTCAAGCTGAAGCTATAACTACACTTTTACTATATATCAAAAAATCTCATAGGAAACTAATCACACTTTCAAATGAAGACCAATATTGCCTGTCAACAAAAATAGACTTGGCAAAATTTATAGATGCACAAAACTGCAGAAAACAGAGGTCAGAACTAAACTAGAAAACAACCTTCAAAAAATTATTGTTAATTCCATTTGGTTAAACAGTTTTAAATGGTTCTGTGGAATACTATTTCTCTCCATTTAACAACTAGCATTATTGCTGTTTTAAGTCATTGAAGAAAATTTAGTTAACATATGATCCCAACAGAATATACCCACAGCACTGTTTTGTTCTCAGATAACAAGAGAATAAATGGAGGAGGCAGGCTACAGAGCAGACGCTACGATTCCTTCAAGTTTATTAAACTTCTACAGTGAAGAACAGCCCTAAAGCACACAGCAGAGCAATCTTACCAAGCATCTCTTCTGAGGTGTGCTATTTCTTTGCAAAACTGTGACCATTCTCTTGGAAGCTCCATACCAGGCTGCTCGTGTTGCTGGCTGCCCAAGGCCAGCTCCTGCTCAGGGCTCATATCAGTAGTTCCTCTGTTAAGGTCCATGTGCTGTAAGATGGGGTGTATTTACAAATGTGGTCACTAACCCATGGAATGTCTGGACTGTTGCAAGTGAATCAAAATTCAAATACATGTCATAAGCCCCTGGGAGAGAAACTTTGGGAACTGCTGCTTGGATCATAAAAAATGAAAGTAGTAGTCAGGAGAGATGAGGGCACAATGCAGGTGGTGTGCAGTTCCCTGACTATAAAAGGCAAAGACGATGAAGGGGAAAAAAACCCCATGTCTCATTTTCTCAGAAAGTTTGCTTCTTTTTTCCTTAAAACATGTGTCAAAAAATTAAAATATTTATGTATGTAGCAATTCTGCCATAATAGGCTGTAAAATATGAGATGAAATGAAGTTTTCTCCTCTCCACTTTCCCCTTCAGGAAGACTTATTTGCCTTACACATATGGGACTGCCATGGTGCAAACCTTGTCTTCCCTGGGAAGAACACCAAATACATCAACAGTGATACAGTTCAAAAGGTGATTTAAAGTACTGAGCAAAAGCACCTCCAAACCACAACCCCTCAGAACCCCACACCATCACTTAGGACATCTTAACACTGGGTTTTTTCATTAGAAAAGAATCCAAAACCTATCTGTCATAGCGGTCTCCATATCTGTCAACCCGGTCTCCATATCTGTCAACCCAGTCTCCAGGCTGCTGCCTAGAAAAACAACAAGGAGGCTGTAGAACCTGTCCTTTGCAGTGCTAGACACAACCATGTTACAAACAGTCAAGGGCAGCTCTTCAGGTGCCTGGGAACAGCCATAACTTGACTTTAAAGGCTGCTGAGATGACAGTAGCAGCTAAAGAGAAAAAAAGTCCTCCCAAAACTTATCTCGCTGACTTTGGAAGCAAAATTGAAACAATCTTCAGATTGTTTCAAAACTGACTCACCCAAAACAGAAGGATGCAGTAGGAGTGCAATATACTAATAGAGCATCCCTTTTATTTGTATGCAGATGCACAGAATTACAGGCATAAAGATGTTGGGAAGTACCTGAAATAATATATTTTCTCCGTATAAAATATTTATGACTGATCTAATCGTACATTAAATGTTTCTTAATACTGGCAAACATTTGAGGCATTATGTTTGGGGAATTGCTAGGAAATCTCATGAAACTAAATGCTTAAAATGTTGAAATTACCTTCAAGTCATCTCATTTGAATGACATTATAAAAAATTATGTTCTATTCATTATTTTATATATGGTTTATTATAATAATATGGTTTAGTTTATGTAACAAAAATATCCAATTAGATCTTTCTTAAATAGATACAAGTTTATCAGTTAACATATCCTGGGTAAACTATTCCAGCTAATGCAGCTATTGCTGCTAATGCTATGTTTTAATTCTTTCCAGTTGCTAGAGGAGTTATTTATACGCACAGCATGGAAGCTTAGACTCATGCTTCTTTGACTGCACATGAAGATAAAGGACATTCAAGTGAAGAGAGAGAGTAGAAAATTAAAAATTTTAAATCTCAAATCAACCCACATTTTCAATAAAAGAAAAGACAAATAGATGGACATACCATGATAAATAAAACATGTGCTTTGGCAGCTCCTGGATTTAGTAGACAAATTGATTTATATCTTTCAAGTAAGAGACAACAAGGAATACTTGGTTTTTGAAAACTGGCACACTACTTAGAAACCAGAATGTTTTCAATGAATTATGATAATTGTCTATTAACATTCTAATGCATGCTAAAACATTAGAAGCTCTTCCTTGCCTTTCTTCTCCCATTATGACAGAGATAAATTTGTCCAAATTCCCTTCCTTTCAACTCCTTTCTGTCAACACAACTGAAGTTAAACAAAATCAGTGAGAAAAAGGAGGAGAAGCATTTTATTTTAAAGTGTCATTGCCTATGTTACAAATTCACAAGTATCAAAATAAATGAAGACAACTGACAAATTATAGATGAGATCCACCAGCAATCAATCCTCACCCAAGAAAAATCCTTAGTTCTTTTTGAAAACACTGATCTAAATGCTAAACATATGACTACATTTCCTTCTTAAAAGCACCATATTGTCTTATACTAACACTGTGGTCTGATTTCTGAGGAAACTAGGCTTAATGAGATCATGTTTTTTTTCTAGGTACAGTGACTTTTTTAACTCGTTGACCAAATTCAGCCAAATCTGAGAGTGGGATAATTATCTCATGTCTAAACAGTATTAGAAACAATTTTTTATTTCAATAGCTTACTATGGTGTGGTGGTTTGTAAGCACAGAGAGCACACTTTGGAATACAAACCAACATGTCAAATGCACGTGCCTGCTGAAATCTAACCGTAAGGCCCGTCAAAAAAATCCCACAGAGAAGGGTTTGTCTTCAATTACTTTTATTTCCTCCTTATTCTTTCTTTTAATGAAAAACAGCTCTACTGAATTTGTAACAGTAAATAAAATGGTAAAATAGTAGCTTTTCCACCAGAATTTGAAGGACAAAAAGTTACCCGGTTATTCTGGAATCTCCATTCCGGTTTTAGCACATTTTTATCATCACAGCTCATGATGTAAGTATTATATTTTTCAGTTATTCATGATATAAGTATTATTATATACATAAAACTGTGTTTTATATGAATACTTATACATGTATATATATATACACACACATTTGCACATAAATACATGGAAGGTGAAACTCTTCATCTTTTCTTACGCGAAAGATCTGTTTGTGCTGTAATGCAAGAGTTTAGCATTTCTAGAAACAATCAGATTTTTTAAACCATTGTGAAGGAAAGCTAAAATGTAACAAAAAATGTAGCACTTTTTACAAGCAGTCAAGTGGAAAAGACAAGGGGTAATGCATACAACTTACTCTTGAGGAGATTGGGCACAAGAGCAAAATTTTTCATGATGAGAACAATAAGCCATTGGAATACCCTCCTCAGGGAAGTGGTGGATTTCCCAGCATTGGACACTGTGACTGGACAGGGTGCTGGGCCATCTTGTCTAGACGGTGCTTTTGGTAAGAAAGTTTGGACCAGGTGATTCTTGAGATCCCTTCCAACCTGGTATTCTATGACTCTGTGATTAGGAGGAATTTCTTTACTGAAGAAGTGACAAAGCACTGAAACAAGCTCCCCAGTGAAGTCATGGCCCCAAGCCTGATGGTGTTCAAGAAGTGTTTGACAAAACTCTTAGATATATGGTTTAACTTTGAGGTTACCCCATGTGGAGCCAGGAGTTGGACTCTTATGATCCTTGAGTCCCTTCAAACTCTGAATAGTCTATGATTCTATGATTCACTATCAGGGGTTCCTGGAAAAACAGCAAATATAAGTACATACAAGCCACAGACCCAAATAAGGGGAAAAAATTAGTCCTATTCCTCATCACACTGTGCCCTTAAATTGTCACTCGACAGTTTCAGAAACAAGTGCTTTACTATCAGTCTAAGGATCAGTTACTTTTCTGCATTGCCTTTAGATATAACATAAAACTGTTCAGCTCACGCAAGCTATTCATTGGCCACAGGTAAGCAACTCCCTTCTTTGTCCTCTTGACATACTATAATCCTACTCTGTGTCCTCTATTTAATTGCAGTCTATATAAAAGGTGGACTCTCACAGCTATTACAGCATAGGAAAATCTAAGAATATTTTCCACCAATTTGAGGAAAACACAGATGAAAAAAATTCTACATGATCTTAAGGACTGAGATTAGGATTATTTTACATATAAAAAATATAAATTTCTGTAGAATTAGGCAAACAACATGACCAACGCTTTGGATTCAGGAATGTGGTTTGATGTAAATAAATAAAGAATAATAGAGAACATGCTAAAACAGAAGCATTTTCTCAGTGCTTAATCTCTTCTTCAGCTTCCTCCTCCTTATAATTGCATAGTACAACATACTTAAATAATGATATGAGGTATTATTACTTTTAGTATAAGGAGGTTATAATTTAGCAATAGTACTATTCTGTTGAAATTTTATTTATGCCTAAGTAAAAGATCTCTACTTATGAAAACAGCATTAAGCAAGCATACTATCTAATTATGAATCATGGGTTGCACATTTTAAACAGATTTACAAGAGTAGCAATGTTGGTTCTCTAAAAAAAATAAAGTCAGAAAACCATAACATTAATTCTTTTAAAGCAAGATGAATAGACAATATAAGTACATTTACCCTTCCTTGGACAGTCCATCTCTTCATATGGACAAGTTTAAAGCACCTTGATCCCTCTGTCTCTTTTAATCATTTTTTCCTAGACAGAAAAATAGCAGAAGTAATGAACTGCAAAAAAAATTACAGATCTCAAATTAAACAACAGAGACCTATTTAAAATAAAAAAATTATCCTTTTATCATTACAAATATAACACTACTGTGCCAATATGAACTAGAATTTCAAACCTTGTGGTCAATGAAGCATATAATAGATTGTCAGAAATACTGTCTGTAATATGAATCCACTGAAAAAAATGCTGAGATAATTCAAAAGTATCAAAATCAGCTGATACACCTCTAAAAAGTCTCCATCTTCCTTTCTCAATTCATAAATGGCTTTCTCCTATGTGACAGTTTGATAGAAGTAGTAAAAATAAGCTTCTGATTTCTATATTTGAAAATGTTGTGCATTACTATGGTAAGCTAAATCATTCTTATCTGGAAATTATTTACTCTGTAATAAAAACTAATAGCAAAATAGTAATCTTTCCCTCATACTGAAGCAATCTTCTTGGAAAATTCAGGAGGCTCACTGTTATGAAGCCCATGGTGTACTAACCGTGATGTTGTATGAAGTAGAATATTACAACAGAAAACACAAATGAAGAGGCACACTGAAATTAATTTTTTGTGGTTGTAACTCAATCAAAACAGAAGTTAAAAAAGACTTTAGAAAAAAATCATACTTGTTAAACTCCAGTCAAAAACAATCATCCCTCAACACAGGTCTGAATTTTGGTCAGCATGAATTCTACTGTTCTATGTTAAAGCTCATTAAGGAAAAGGATGGCTGCATCAAGTTCCAATGATTCTCTTAGCAGCTTGGTTGATTGGGCTAGATTACTTCTGCAGGTCTACTTTTCAGGGCACCTGGACACAAACAGGATAACGAAGTGTTGTGTCCCCCTCTTAGCTGGCATTTTGGTCAAAATGGTTTTGGCTCTTCTGATACTGTTTCCGGGATACTGTTCGTGATCATTCTTTTGTTATTAAGTGAGGATGCTACAGATCTAAAATAATCCAACCCTAAAATTAGAGCAATTATGTCAAAAAGGTAAAGGATAACAAATATCCCTTTATAGATTCCCTAAGACCAACAATAATTAAAACCAAAGAGTATTCAGCAAGCTTTGAGTTTTTCCTTATCTTCATAGTTCAGTAAAAAATATCCCAAGCTAATCTGTTGTTATATTAAATAAGGGGGAGGAAGGGGGGAAATGGATATTCTAACTATATATTCCCCTGTAAGATAAACAGAATGGAATATTAAAAAAAAAAAAAAGAATCCTGTCTGGAATTAGTTATAAATAAGCCAAAATTAATAAGGAATTAAAAAGCAAGTGCACTCATTGAAAAAGATGAGAATCATCTAAGAACGCACAGCTGTGGCTTCTTTCAAAACACTGACAGTCTCCAACAGAGTTCCTGAATTTGTAAACAATATCTCACCTTTGTTTTGACCAGTGGAGAAGAGCAGCTGGTGAGGGAAGCATTTGAACACACTGCAAAGAAACTGGACTCGCTGTCTTGGAATGATGGCAACAATTCAGGGTTAAACCAACCCTGCTTTTTGATGCCAGCACATGGAGGGACGTATTATTTGCAGCTGGAATTCGGGAATGTCTGACTGCTGACAGAAAAAGAGCTGATGGCTGGGTAGAAGAAAGGGGAATAAAATAACTGTGCTTTCATTGTGCAGCTACTAGAAGGTACTCCAACACTTCAGGGTTTTTTTTTACTTTTTTTTTAACTCCTTCTCCCTCAGTGCATTTAGCCCCTGTAACCACACAATACACAGAATACTTTGGTCCAAAACATTTCCAGATATGTAATTAGGAAAGGAGGAGTCTGGAGTTTTGTTTCCTTACTAATTCCAACTGGCAAAGATTGGAATCTTTTTGCAATATTTACAGTAATTCAGAGGTAGGATTGTATGACTAACCTTGATTTGAAAATCTGAGAGGCAAGCTAGAAATGAGTATCCCAGTGCAGCTTTCAGCCTGTATTCAGAGGCAAACACATCCAATAGCTCTCAGCAGTAAGCCCCAGGACTATAAATATAATGGCAATCTGAAATCTTCGTGAGTTTCCATTTAGTATTCTTACATCGTAAGTAGTAACACGGTATTTACCAGTGATTGATATCCAAGGAACATAATCTGTCTTAAAGCAAGTTATTTATTTATACATGAAGAGTCCTGCAGCTGTGCCTGGAGACAGAGTGGATGCCCTGTGAAATGGAATGGATGCATATAAATGCCCTGTACTTGGTGTCAAGCTGTGACCTTTTATCTAAAATTCCTGAGGTGGTGCATCTTCACTCAATCCTATGGCAATGGCTTACTGATGTTAACAAAAGAGTGTGGCCAGGAACTCCTGCCTCCTCCTCCTAGTTCAGATTCCTTCATGGCTGGGATTCTTGTACATAAAAACAACCGGCAGTATCTTCTCGGTTTGCCATATCTGCAAATAATCAAGCAGTGAACTCAGGAACATCACACACGAGAGCAGGCTAAAAGTCAACTCTTACTCTTTTGATTGAGCAAAAGACAAAAGCATATTTGCAATTTAGTGCAATGCTCATTATTTTTATGAAAGGAAAGTGAGGGAAGGTAGTGCATGGGTATATGTGGCCAACAGCCTTTCAAAATTATCAGCTGCTTATAGGGCAATTGGGTCCATTCTCAATATTAAAAGTTTTTTTATTTAAATTTTATGACTTTCAGATTAAGGGATGATTCCTCAGTAAATTAATAAGTAAATTGCACTAGTGGCAAGGATTCATTATAAATTTTCCATTTCTTTGATGAAAGCACCTAACATAGAATTCCCACACAACCCTACTCAACATATAAAAGGACATTATTCAAAGTTCAGAAATTTGCAGATCTAAAAGTCAGGCAAGTCTTTTGTTTCTGCATCACAGTTATTCCTGTGAGAATCACAGTAATAATTAAAATAAATAAATAAATAGAAGTTTTTATTTTGAAATACCTGAGACTTCAGAAACGTGCCAGTCTACCTGAACTCACATTAATATATTTGGCATCTGTGAAATTACCATCAAGCTCCTTCAAGGCATGCTGCTGTATGGAGTATCTTTATATGCACATCTTCAGGCAAGGACTTGATCTCTCTGTGATTGATAGAGGCACTTACCACAACGGAATCATAATCAAGACCCAGATCCTCTGGAGAAATAAGAACAAATAATAATGACAGTAATGCTTTAATATCCTACTAAGCAAGAATCATCTCTGCTTTCTTGAACTGGACATTTTTTCCCTTATCATTTACATAAATAAAATGTTGAGGCTAACTGATATCACTATGACCACACTCTGGTCTTCTGCAAAATACCAGCCAGAACTAAACAACAGTGTGATGAAATAGCATACACATTAACAAGTCTGGTTTTTTTCATAAAAATATTTTTGCAGTTAAAGAACTTATCTACAGAGCAAAGAGGAAAAGCTTGAAAAAGCAAAGGACAACTTTATCTTTCCAAGAAATCAAGTACTCCAGCATTTCAGACCACAGTCGTATGTGCTTCCTGAAAAAGGATGAATCTGTAAATTCCAGGGGGACAAGGGACTATAACAACCTGAAAAGATTTTTATGTTTGGAGGTATATGAAATATATTGTTTTGGGCCAGTAGGGAATGTCAGATAAAAAGCTGGTGCAAAAAGGCTGGGTAACGGGCTGGATTTAAAATAACAATCCTACCAAACACATAAGATTATTTGTTGCCCCCCTCCTCCTCTGAGGTCCATAAAACATCCACATTCCCTGTTAACCCCTGCAAAACGTAGTTAAGACACAATGTTAGATGAAGATAAACTCGAGATCTTTCAAAATAAAAAACATAACAACTAAAAAGATAAATATTATATGGCAAGGAATATACCTATGGTAAACAATTCTGTTGATGGAATGTAATTTGTAATCTTATCTGTTGATTTTGGAAAAACATGTTTATTTAGAGCCTGCAATAAACAACCAAATGTTCTTTCATCAGAAAGTGAAAATCAACCAACTTAGTTAAGAACTATTCTAAGAACACTTACTTAATAGCATCCAGGTTCAGTGACTGATTTTCTATTTTAAGCAGGAAGAGAGGTACAGCACAAACAATCTGGAGGATAAAAGCCTGACAGCAAAATCTCCACACATACCAAAGAAAATAACGTGCGTATGACAGCTACAACAGCAGCAATTTTCAGCTTCTTACACTACTCATGCAATGCACTTTGCAGTCATCCCTCTTGCATAAATCTGTACGTTAAAATTTTGTGTTCCAGTGGATCGTTGGAATGTTCCATATCTGCAAATGAGCCAGATAATACAGAGTGTGAGAAGTGATTTGTGCTATCACTGACATCAGGAGTTTTGCAGCTGTAGTTATTAACAGATATTTTTTCACCCGCAGCATTGACTAAAATCAATCACTCTGATAACCAGGCATGGCATGAGCTGTCCGCCCTGTCATTTCAGTCTGATTAATCACACATACACAGACCTTTACCTTAAAGAAGCAATTGTTCACATTTAATCACAAAGATACATTCAAGCATACTATCATAGATTACTAAATTTAAGTGCAATTTATGTCTTATAGTTTGGCAAATACGTTTATGATAATATGGCTTTGGCATGTAGATGTATTGTTTCATTCATTTTACAAACATTAAAATCTAAGCTAATGTGTTGTACTTTGAATCATTAATCACATCAGATTTGCAGCTTTTGAAGCTTCCATTATACACATATCCTCATCTGCAGATTTATCCTAATAACCCAGGTAGAGATAAGTTATTACATCTTCTTCAGACTGTGCTTGCTTGACAGTAGACATCATCTTCATCATGGAAGAAATTACTTTATTTTACCTAAACATCCTACATTCTATTAACTGGCCCTTCTTTTGTTTCAGTTTTCCTTTTGACCTCAGAACAAAGCACAGTTCTTCCGTCAAGAGTTGTGCAAGAGTTATTCTTTCTCTTTTGGGTTTTGGGGCGGGTTTTTTTGATTTTTTTTGTTTTTCTTTTTAAAAGGAAAGACATCTAAGAGAGTTCTTACACAAGCACAATACTCTGCAAGTAAAAGCAGACCACTCTGGTGAAAGCACACTGCTATGTTAAAAAAATATTGAATTTGAGATCTGTCAAACCAGTAACATTTTTGACTCTGCGAGAAACATCCTACATTCCGGATACACTTCTTGATTAGGCCTAAGCACACAAAAACATTCAAGTGTCCTGGGGTCCACCACTCTTCAGCAAATCACATGGGCATATGTTTCAGTTCAGAAGCCAACGAAATATAAGAATATGCTGAAAATTGAGTATAAGCCTGAAAGTTGTGCTGATAGAATTGCACAAAACCGCAATTTTTGGCTCCGTTGCTAAAGAGAAGTTGTATGTAGCAGACAGGTTATTATTTGTTACGCATATTAAGTAGGTGACTCCTTAAGCTTTTAGCTTCTTCCAAAGTATTAATCCACCAACATTTCACAATTGGGTATATTTTCTGAAGGGCCAGACCTATATGCTAAGAATTATTTTTTTATTTACTGTTTCTACACTAGATAATACTTATGCTACAAAATACATATTTTTTAAAAGACTGTTGCACTTAGATCTACATATTAGTTGCCTGATTAACATTTTTATATTTTACTTTTAAAGAAATATATTTTTAAATAATTTTAAAAAAATTTTATTTAAATATGGCAAAACCCCTATTAGTTAAAAATATAACACAGTGGATATAAAGTGGACCTTTCTTTCATTTGTAGCCCAGTGTGCAGGAAGCTCCCATCAACAGGTTTCTGCTCTGACTGCTCCCATCTGTGCTCTCAGGAAATGACAGGTTGGATAGGTTGACAAACAACTAAACTCTTGAAAGAGGGGAGAAAGCATTCTTCTGCCAAAGAATTTTGAAAAGAAAAGCCAAGTGTTGGAGACATCCAGAGAATTGTTTATGTTTAAATAAATGGCAGAGACACAAATTCACGATCAGAATGCAAGTAATTACTCAAAACTGCACAGTGCATTTATTTCCTCAGTCCTGAACTGGGATACAGAAAGATATTGCTTTTTCTACCACATCATGCACCAACAGTATATACGTTACAAAGTTTCCAGAGGTTCAATCGTCATTCTGTAATGTAATCAACAGGAACCAGGCAGAACATAACAGGGATGTAATTACCACTAGAAAATTTAATAAAAGTGCCCCTTAAAATAGGCAATGCTGACTTTTCAAAACATTCCTACTCATAACATCCTAGAGTATTTTTCAGAGCAAGAACAACTGTTAATATTATTGTGTCCACCCAGTTTAGCAAAACGCTATCGCCTTTGGTCTTGATGTTGCAATGAACCTTGATCAAATAGAAAACGGGTAACAAAGAACCACACAGCAACCCATACTTTATGGAGAGTGTTTTACAGGGATACACTACAGCCAGTGATCTCATAATCTTTCTTAGGCTCTGGAAAAAGATTAAAGCAAGTATTTCTGTACATATAGTCATATACAAATTGGAAATCTAGAAAATGCAACAGCAGATCAGAATATTAGTGCATCTACATAGCTGTTACCATCAAGGAATGCACAAAATACCCGTCATTAATCAATGAGGATAGTATCTCACAAGTCACAGGTTGTGTCCACACAATTGTCTTCAATAACTATTCATTATCCAGTTCTCTGTTGATTTTCCAGTCTCTTTTTAAATCAGTTTGTACTTCAGACCTCCCAAAAAAAGCAGAGAGACGCATTCTGCAGTTTAAATTCTGTGGTTCAGAGGGAAAAAAAAAAAAGCCTTTATTTTTTTCCCCCTGTCTAAACCTACCAGGTCATAAGTCCCCACTTATCCCCTCTGCAGCAATCATCTTTGTATCCACCTCTACCACAGCACTTCCCATATATGTACCTCTTCTGTGCTTAAAAGCTCCAGTATGTTCTGCCTGCCCTTTTATAGAAAGTCATCTAGGTACACTACATTGTCTTTGGGTTTTTCTGAAGACTGTTTGGTAAAGAACTGGACAAATAAATAGTTCGAAATCCAGAGTAAATTACAATTCTACTTCCCTCTTCAGAAGCTGAAGAACTGTTAACTATGTCCTACTATACCACATTTTATTAATTCAATTTCTTATACCACAGCAGCCTTCTGGAAGAACTCTTTAAAACATTTGGAATTTATCACCTCACCTTCCTGTTTTACTGAATAATGTTTTATTAATAGAAAAGGCTAACAATGACTACCAAAATCATCTGTTTAGAGATAAGAAATTTCAGCCTTTTTTGATTTTGCCTTTTAAAAATGCTTTTCATGCTCAGATTTTTCTGTATTTTCTCCAACATTTTTGTAATGTTGATACAATATTGCACTGAGAATTTCAAAAGCAATTCCTATCACTGATTTAGAAAGACACACTAATGGTTTTCATTTCTTTATTCCCGTTCCTCATGTCTTATGCTCTACGACATTTCAACCTGTGATTAGAAAACTGACCTGCTCTGACTAATGACAAACAGAAAACAACACAGAATACAGGACAGGATAGGTTTCCTACTCCTGAAGAGTAAACATGAGTGGCTAATTCTTCTCACCACACACATAAAAAGTAATTTTTGAATGTAGTAATGCATTTTTAGCCCCTTGAAAAGAAACACTTGCTTTTACAATACAAATTTAGTTTAAAGAGTTGACTATCACAAGATATCACAAAAGCCATGAATTTCACCAGTCCTTTTCTTCTCTCCCCAGATCCTCATGAGTATCCTTCAAGAGAGGAACAAGGTAGTTATCCGTTAACTGGGTAGGAAGAATTTCTCTCAACAGACATACTACTTCATTGTCATATACTCTCACAAATGTGCCCAATGTCAGATTTTTACCTTATCCATAACTGTCATATTTATTTTTAACTCATTTCCTAAATGGAAATACGTTTAAGAAACAAGAAAAGCTGAATTTATCAGAACCGAATATGATATATTAATATGGTGTAAGTAATTAATTGAGGAATATTAAATAGAATCTATTGCTACCATCCTACTCCAATCCAATGCAGCTTACAGACAGAACATGCATTTCTTAAAGTGTAAAAATGTTTTTTTTCCTATTTCGCATATATCAGGAAGTCAACATTGTAGCCATCTTCTAAAAAAAATCCTTGGGGTGGGGGGAGAGGTCTATTTTTTTTTTTAAATATACTGATTTTCTCTAGAGTCTGTTAAAGACTTGTCACAAGAAAAACAATAAAGAAAGATGATGCTCTGAATTTTGTCTTCATGCCCTCATGTGCCAAGTCCCCAGACAGAAAGACATCAGAAAGGAAGGTTCTTACTGATTTAATACAATGACTAGGTGGAGAAAAAAAATAGAACAGAAAAAGATTCTCAGAATCTGTAATCAATACTAATATTAGGGGGGAAAGGGTAAAGGACCACATCCAAACCAGTATTACAAAATAAGGTCACTAAGATACTTTTTGTGTATATTGTATCATTAATTGATGTAAATATACATCAAAAAATCCTTCTAATAATGTAATAAAAATTACTCTAAAAACTGCATGGTATGTTGTAACTGTTTTCAACTGTCAAGTGAGATGTTGATGATGAGATATGTGTGAAGGCATGTATAAAGTTTTTATTTTTTCTTTCTTTGTAATATATTTGTAATTATGACATTACCTAAATTCAGCTTCAATAGTGTAACCAAAATCAAGGTATTGGCATACAATATATTGCTATATATCAAGAGCTGAGCAGGCCTTTCCTTTTAGTTACATAGCAGTGATATGGTCATAATTGACATTTTTGTCACGTCATTGTGTTAAGTCCCGGTTTGTGCTGCATAAATGCACAGAAATTCAGCTGCATTTCACTGCTCTCTTTACGTTACCTGCCATTTTACTTTCTGCTCTCTTCCTCCCTGTTTCTTCCTTCCAGGCTTTCACCACATACGAGAATTCAATGTTTATTCTTCTGCTTGTTGACAGGAGAAAAAAACAAACTGTAGTGTCTGCATACTACGTGGTCCTGAACAAAAATCAGCAAAACTGCAATCAACATCCAGATAAGGTTCTCTAATTTCATTCTGAATATGAAACATAATTTAAATCACAACACTGCTAATGCTGAAGTTAAAAAGAAACAACACACATTCCTCAACAAAAACTCCAAACCCAAAAAAGCCCAGAACATTTTATGAAATGACAGAATGAGATGTGATTTATGCTGTACTCCTAATTCTAATTTTTCTAGAATAGATTTAAGATAGGACACATCAACCATATTAATATTCAAATCTATCCCTTTAAGTATCACGCAGTCACTAATCAGAGCTGAAGGGGACTGAGCTTTTCTCACAGTATTCATTCTCATTTTAAAATGACTTAATTCTGAGCTATTTTGTATTCAAAACACTTTTCTTTATCTGGCATGTAACACCTACAGTTCAAGTAGTTAAACAAACAGCACCTAATTTGATATTCTATAAAATTAATTTCAATAGAGCAGCTGATGAAGAACAAAGGGTTTAGTATTTTATAGGTATTTCTAAAGCTTGTCCCTCCAGAATGAAATTCTCACAGCAGTCACTTCATAAACAAGATTCAGGGTTTTTCGAGGCATTACTTACATATGCGGTAGAATATATTTCACAAAACACTTTGTTGTGCTGTGGATATATAAGCATATCTTAAAGGAACTAAACTAAGTTATTGAAAAGCAAAGATTTCATCAGAGAATTATAGAGCAAATGTGGTACACAAAACCAAATGGAGTTCCCATCTCCACAACATTCATACACTGGTTCTATTTAGTGGCAATGTTTGCTTCACAGGGTTATCACCTCTCACCCATCTGAAACTATCAGCTAAGCTTTTGCTTTTATAACAGGCCCATTGAAGCTGTATCTACTGGTTTTTCAAATTACCACCATTTACTGATTTCCTGTATTTTAGTCTTTCTTTTTTTATTTTTTCATTTCTGATAATAAGATTCAGCTCGTCTTGTCACACTTGAATTGCCCAAGATAACCCTTGCTTTCCCAGGATGACATTGGTTATGAACCAGAATTATCAGAATGCAAAGGGAGATTTTTTCCAAGTCCCATCCAAAAATCTGGACTAGCAGGATTTTTGCTTTTGAACATAGAAATTTAAAGCACCTACAAAGACAGACAGAACTTACTATAGTAACATGGAAAAAAACAGTATTAATATCCTAGTTATTTCTAGCATTTCGAAAACAATTATTTAGTCTTTTTTGTATACTGGGCCCAGCATGAAGACACATCTTCCCATCAGCTTCAGACAGCTTTGTACAGAGCTCCCAGGAGTGGTGCAAGGTCCTCCCTCTTTCTCAGCCACAGCAGCACTCTGAAAATGTTGCACATCTGTGGAAGAGAGAGCTCTTATTCGTCAGCATTTGTGTTAGTCACTCAAGTGACTCAGTAATGCCCTAATGTATTCAAAACAGCATGAGGGCATAGAATAAAAGAAGCCTGGGCTTGGCACTACCAGAGAACAGAGCCTCTGAGGATGGTCATGACAGCAGTTCAGGACAAACCTTTCCCCACTCCAGCAGTGTCTAAGCAAAATTCTTCTACCCATCCAGTTCAGAAAAAGGAGCACAAACTCACAAAGCTGAGCTAGGAGGAGACTGAGGGAAGTATGTTTACAGGCAATTTATGCATACAACACTTACACTAAGGTCACTAATAGACCCTTGGAGCAGGTACCAATGCACACAGAAGCAGAAGGGCCAGCTTGTCTCTGAACTACATTTTCAGACACATTAAAATCTAATTGAATATATCAGTCCCACCACTCCATATTTATTTCTGATTCCAGTTATACAAAAAGATGAGTCTTTTTGGCAGGAGTTTCTCCCTCCCTGCTTTTCCACATTGCTTGTCAAATCACAACAGGCTTCACTACCACAGAAGGAAATCAGTAGCGAGCTCCTTCCAAATCTGAACAAGACAAACAGACCCTTCTAGAACTTCCTGATTTCTCAGTATGATCTACAGTACTGGCATTTTTATATCAGTCTCTGACATCTTCTCTCTTGAAACCCACATATTTCACCCACTTACTCTCCCTTTTTGCCACGTCTACTTGGCCGGAGACCACAGCATTCCATAAAGCTCCTTACATTGTAGGAGGGCAGCAGCAAGCACAGAACATATGGCAGAAGTTAAATGAAACTTGAATAAATCTTTTGTCTCTGAGCTTTTAGAAGAAGAAAGAATTCAGACGAGAGGAAAACAGCGGTATGAATAAAAGCACTTATTGCTTTTTGAGCATGTCTTCTATCACATTTCCACCTTAGAGTAATCCAGCCATTATACTTCTACTTTTCACTGAAGTTACTTAAGCCTCGTACTCCTGTTCCCTGATCAAAGATGTGGGCCTGCATGGATACACTGGCTGTACTCACCTTGTCCTATGAATTTGGACACTGGTAACTCTCCCTTAAAAGCCTGCTATCAGCACTATGCCTTTCATACAGCAATGGCAATAAACTGGTTTAGGAGCTATAAACCACTTGAAGGAGAAAGAGACTTTCCTAACAGCCCATACTGATACCCATCTTCAGTATATTCTTGTGATTCCACTCACAAAAACAGGCCAAATTTTCCATCAACACCTTGTTTCTTCCACAGGGAAGCCCTCTCTTTTGCTGAGGAAACCCTGCTTTGTTGAGAAACAGTTTCTTCAACCTTCAGTTCCTCATGTAAGTGTCTCCCTTTGAGTTCCTTTTCCCATGTTATTTTTTTTCCCTTATAGATTGTATATTAAATTGTCAGCTCAGTCACAGAGAAGCAACTTCGTGTGTAGATGTAATAGTGAAATCATTCCAATGGCAGTGTCCCTTCCATATGCATACCAGTGCTCATAAAAATTGCTGGAGCTATCTTGCATATTTTCCACAGAAACTGGGAAAAGATACACATCATCTAATACAATAATAGAAAAAAAAATCCTCCAAAAAATGTCTCTTAACCTATTTTATGATTTGACTGCTCTGTTATTGATGTTGCTTTATACTTATCATCAGGGTGGTCAAACCCTGTCTGTGCCACTGGTCTGGTGCCAGATACCTCTACAAGCCACACACAGAGGCACATAACTGCAACCTCCCCTCAACTGTGTGCTGCACTGAGTAACAGGGATCGGTGCCCAAACATGGGTTAAGAGGATTGACAAGCATCTGACAGCTGTTAGATTTCACAAAGTTTAGGTGACAATGCCTCCACCCACCTTCCTCACCTGTGTGAGACCAGAGCAGAGAAGTGAGGCTGGTTGGTTAGACCACATTGACAAGATAAATGCATGCCCTTGAAAAAGCCCCAATCCTACTGACGTCAAAAACCAATGGATTGGGTCCCCTGTCAGACACAGAAAGCAGACATCTGCTTCACTACAAATGTAAAGAGGAATTCATTAAGTCAAGCATAGTCTTATTCCAAACTAAACACTATTAACATTTGAAGTGCTTAAAATTTTTAGTAATGTAAATTCCCTTCAAATTCCCTTGATTTCCTGTGTTAAATAATGATAAATGTCCAAATCATGAATTTTATTATTTCTTGTTCTTTTATTGTTAAATTTTGTTGAGGCTTCTTGATACTTTCCCTGTGCTGCTTCCCCCTCCCCGCTCTATGCATTTCTCCCCCCTGCTGTGTGCATCTGCTGTGTCTCTCTCTCACTTGCTCTCTCCCTGCTGTGTACATCAACTATTTCTCCCCACCACTCCTATATGCATGTTTGCAATCTATCTCTCTCCCCCTCCTGCTGAGTGTATTCACTGCCTCTCCCCCTCCCCCAGTACGTGCATCCATCCTGTACCTTCCTCTGCCACTGCAGTGCACACAAGCCTTTTCTCAGCAACTCCTACTGGCATTCATGCAAACCTTCCTCTGCCTGTCTTCCCTCATGCCCTCTCCTCTTTTTTCATCCCTCTCTTTGAGCATCCCTTATCCCTGCTCATCTTTATACTTTTCTCCCTTCCATCTCTTTGATATTCTGGTTTCTTCACTCTCCTTATCTGCATCACCCTTCTCTCGGTCTCCCCTTTGTACCATTTCTCTCTACTTCTCTCTGATCTGTTCTCACAAATTGATTCTACAGGAAAAATGTTCTGCTCTTGCTTGTGTGCAAGCTCACATTGCAAGCCATTCAGCACTGTGTCAAATCTAATGGTAGTCAGCTTTATTTGCAAAAGAATTCTTGTTTCCTACCATCGGGCACACAGGGTAAAGTCTCCCAAAACACTTTCCTGTCCTTTTTTCCTCATATTACTGCACTACAGGGTTCACTTGCACGTAAAGATTAAGTTAAGATATGCCTGTGCATACCTGCCAGGTTCTTACTGGCAAAAGAAAAGGATCTATTATGACACTGAGCCTAACTGCAGCTAAGGTCATGACAAACTAAAAATGTGCATTATTTGGTACAAAACAGCTGAACAGAAACAAATTCAAATGCATCATATGATTTTCATTTCTCTTTCCAACTGATGTATAATAACAGTGCCTTATTTAACGATCAGCTAATTGACTCAACTCTCTTCCTCTTCATCAGCAAATTTCATCAACTTTCTCTTACTTTCAGTGTCCAAGTAAGCCACTTGAGGAAAAAGTTAAGACTGATCACAAAACTCATCCTTAGGGAACTCCAGTAGTGGCACCTACACAACTCAGCACTTTCTCACTCGGCACTGTCATTTAGCTAATCACTTATATTACTTATACAGATTCCCAGTTTTCCAATTTTGACTATTAATATCCAGATATCCAGTACAGGCAGATGACGTCAACCACACCTCCTTGGTCTAGAAATACATTAATTTTAGCAAAGATATCCTTTCCACCTGGCACAATGTACCATTAGTAAACCCCTGTAGCATTTATCCCACTTCGCACTACTTTCAAGCCTTAAACAATTCTTTTCTGTAAAATGTCTCCTATTGGCTTG